GTGACGAGGGTTCCGACACCAGTTCCAAGAAGCATCCCGCGGAGATGTTGAGAAGGGGGACCTGTGAGGGGGTGCTCAGGCGTGCCGAACACGTTATGCGTGGTGACTTCGAGTTCGAGCTGCGACATCCCTTCCTCGGGGGGCGCGTTGCGCTCTGCTTCCGCGATGGCGGCGAGTCCGCGGCCTGCAATCGCGCTCGTCGAGGTCGTCGGCGTGTGACAATCCCTGCAGATTCCATCTGGATCAGGTTTGTGAAGCGCCGTTTCGCGTGGGTGGGGATGGTGCGGCACCCACGGCCTGCCGTCAGGGTGCTTCCAGTCCCTGCGGTGGATGTGTTCGAATCGCAGTGGCACGAGGTCAATTAGCTCGTGCGAGTCGCCGCTGCAGTCGGGAATGTCGAAATCCAGGATGTACACTCCATTTTCGGAGTGTGCTCGTCCGATCTGCCTGCGGGGGAAGTTGTGCGCTTCGTAGTGTAGCAGGATGTCTCGCGTCGCGTGGTCCGTGCTGAGGTCGACGCCGCAGTCCATGAGCTGTGCGGCGGACAGGAGGTTGAAGCGCAGGTTTTGGACGATTAACACATCATTAAGAGTGATGTGCGTGCGGCTTCCGCGTGCTTTGAGCACGACGATGCCTTGCGCGCTTGCGCGCAGGCGCGTGTTGTTCGCCACAGTGACGTGAGTGACGGTAGGGGTGGGGACGGCGTTGGATATGTAACGCTCGGAGCCCACCATATGCTGGCCGCAGCAGCTGTCCAGGTACCAGGTGTTGTTGCGCTTGTTGTCGTCACGTGCGAGCAGCGCCAGTCGCGGCGTGACGATGTGCGGGGTATCGAACTTCAGAAATTGCTCGCGCGAGAGCCAGTCAAGTGGCGCCACCCGCATGTCGGGTACGTGCGGGGGACTCTCAAGCAGCGGGACTGGGAGATTCCAGTCCTGGTCGTCGTCGTCGGTGAAGTCGTGGCGCGGACTGAATGGGTTGTTGTTAGAGAATGCGCCGATGGGATGTGATGGTGAGCGCGCGCGACGACGTGATTCGCCTGTCATGGCCATGTTGCTCATGACATTGCGCACTGGTGCAGTCGATGACGGCTGCTGCTGCTGATGCTGAACCGCGGGGTTCAGGTTGCGCGTGGGAGGGGGCTGATAGCCCTGGGCTGGACGCACGTCGCCTCGTACGTCTTGTCGGCCGGACCAGTTGCTCGGATTGGTCTGGCGAGGGCGAGATCGGGATTTGCATCGATCTGCCAGATGCCCGAAGTTCCTGCAGATTTTGCAGTAGAGGCGCCTCGGACGTCGCTCTTCGTTGTTGTCGGCGTAGAAGGCGATCCGTTCTCTTTCTCGTCGTGGCGCTGGTCGCTGCTGATCCATATCCCGTTGTTCGACGAGAAGGGCGGCGCAAAGGGCGGCCTCCGAGATGACCCCCTGCTGTCGAAGAAGCGCCTTGCAGGGCCGCCACTCTGGGCCGAGCCCTTGAAGCACGATGTTAACGAAGATTTCTTCAGATATCGTGCTTCCCAACTTCACGATTTGATCGCGAAGGCTCCGACAGCGGTTAAGGTAAGTGTTGACCTTCTCCCCTGAGATCATCTTGGTTTCCAGGAGTTCCTGGAGCAGTCGGCTCGAGGAGACAGAGTCCTTGGGCTGATACACTCCTGTCAGATGTCGCCAGGCGTTGAGGGCTGGAGCAGCTGTCGTTTTGTACGAACGAATGTTGAGCTGCTCCGCCGGGGACATGTTCCGCAGGAGCACCCCGTACGCCATCAGTGATTCGTTGTAATACCTCGCCTTGGCGTCGTCGGTGTCCTCGGCAGGCTCGGCGTAGCTCCCGTCGAAGTAGTGGAAGATTTGGGCGTTCTGCAGCAGGAGCTCCAATTCGAAGCTCCAGGTATAGAAGTCTTTGCCGTCAAAGCTGGAACTTGTCTTTATTTTTGATATGCTCAGAAACTTTGATTGAGCGGAGAGAATTGCTTCTTCACTGGGACGGGGAGCCTTGGGGGTTGAGCCATTTGTGTCGAGGGAGAAGGTTTGCGGGACGGTGTTCTGCCCAGTTGGGCCCGGTTGGGTTGGTTGCGAGGATGTTCCCGCATCGCCGTTCCGCAATGTTTGGAGTCCTTGCTCCAGACTGGTGAGTCGCTGAAGAAGCTGTGCGAGGACTTCAGTGCTGATCGAAGTCGTTTCCTCGCTTGTCGCAGCCGGGTTGGTGCGCGCTTCAGCCGTCAGATTAGTCTGACCACCAGATCCTCCGGCCATTCTCACACGCGAGCGTGTGCCGGTCGCCACTTTCCGAACGTTGCAATTTTCGGGAGTGGTGTTGCGAAGGATTCCCGAGCCGCTCTCATACCATGCTACGATCAGAGAATGATCGCTAACCAGGATCTACTCGGGAAGGTTCGCACACTGAGAAATGTAGTTGGTGGGCCCGTGACCTCAATAGCAGAGTGAATGTAAAATGCTTGAGATGATTAAAACATGCAAATACAGCAAGTATAAATATGAGTACAGGGAAGACGAAACGACCTAGCTAGCCATGTACTCTAAGGGGTACATTCCCTTATTCAAATACATTCCCAACCGTGCGGCGCGTACAGTTTCGTAACTGTTCCCGCCAAAACCATCCCGACTGCAACTGTCCGATGCCGTCTGCTTCCGACGGTCCAGATGCGCCCCACCTGTCTGACACTTTGAGTCAAAACTCCAACTGTCTGACGGTTCGCTTTCTTGCTTCGATACTGCGTGCTTCTCTTTGCTGCGGTGAGGAGTGCTCAGTAACATTTACATGTTACTATTCGTAACAGTATCTGCAAATAAATCTGCAGTAACAAGCTACACTACGCGAGCACTTACGAGCACAAACTGAATAGCTTCCAACCATGCCAGATCAGCATTCCTCCTTCCTTCCTTGTAAAGACATCGCGTGGCATTGTATCCAGGTGTGCTTTTAGTCGGCTCAAAACACACACAAGTGGCTGAAGCTGTGGCTGTGGTCGTGAACCAGCTAGCGCCTTGGCCTTGAATAACATAAAGGGAAGTGACTGTAGAGCAGCAGAGACGCATGGGACTCACTGTCAGCGATGGCGTCAGCCAATGCCCTAGCGCCATCTGTCCCCACACGAGTGGACGCGAATCGAAAGTCCTAGAGCCCCCTCGCCTCCCTCACCACGTGTGCCAGAATGGCAGCACCAGGATCACCAGCACATGATGGTGGGTATGGTGGTTGAAATGGGCAGAATACGCATGGTGCACCGCATGGCATGTAGCAGCAATAGCCATCTTCATGCCCTGGCCCTCCCTCTCTCGCCATCTTCATGCCCTGGCCCTCCCTCTCTCGCCACGCCCACAAGAATGGCGGCCCCTGCATCCCCTGCACGTGGTGGTGTTCCATATGGTGGTGGATCTGGTCTGATGCGATGTGATGTGATGTGATGTGATGTGATGTGATGTGATGTGATGTGATGTGATGTGATGCGATGCGATAAGATGTGATGTGATGTGATGTGATGTGATTGTGATGTGGTGTGTGATGTAATGAGTGGGCAAAGGAGTGAGCGACGCAGGTCCTTGAGCCCTCTCACCACGTCCGCCAGAATAACGCCCTCCGCATCCCCTGCGTGTACTGGTGGGTATGGAGGAGAACGGCAAGGGGCAAAGGGGTCAGCAGCGAATATCCTTGAGCCCTCTCGCCTCCCTCACCATGTCCGCCAAAATGACACCACCTGACTTCCCACCTCCCAACTCCCCACCTCCCAAAGAGGTGAGGCCAATGATGACAGCAGGCAGGCAGGCAGCTCACCCGACATGTTGTTGAAGAAATGAAGAGTCTCGAGGGACGCCACCACCTGGGTGGGCAGTAGCTCCCTGATGGCCACCGCTGCCTCCTTGGAGATGCCATTGTTGCAGAAGTAGAGCTGGCGCAGCCATGGCTGCATGGGGAGGGGGGGGGAGGAGGAGGGGGGGAAGGAGGGGGGGGGGGGGAAAGAGCGGGGACGGGGGAAGGGGAGGTTGGGGAAGGAGGGGAGAACGGGGAAAGAGGAGGGCAGGTAGAGGAATAAGACAGAGGGAGCCAGGGATTGGCCGAGTGCGAGAGAAGGAGCCTCCTGCTGCCTGCTGCTGCCCCTTTGGAGATGCCGTGCTTGCAGAAGTAGAGGCGCAAAGATGGCTGGAGAGGGGGACGAAGGGAGGGAGAGGAGCGCAGGAGGGGGTGAGAGGAACGAGGGAGTCGGGGGCTGGGCAAGATCGAGAGAAGAGGGCCCAAAGTAGCCAGGCCAATGCCCTCCATGTGAAGGCACAATGGCTCCTTGATGACTGCTGCTGCCTCTCTGCTAATGCCGTTGTTGCACAAGTAGAGGTCTACATACCTGATGGTAATTTCTGGGGGCATTTAAGGTGCATACCCTTTGGCGCTCGATGATTGGGGAGCGAAGTGAGCGGAAGCATGAAACACCTGGGCGAGGAGTACAAAGCGTTCTGGCGACGCGAATCAACTTCGTGAGGGGTTGGGTTGAGGGGGAAAAATCGCGCGGAAGGACAAGGTCTCCCCCACTCAACCCCACGGGATTTCGAGCATACGCTGATTGTACATTCGAAGTGAATTAGCTTAGTTTACGCCCATAGTTAGTGCTCACGCTAAACACAGAAGAAAAGCCAGCACACGCCGAGCGCCCACTCTCATGCCTTCCACCCGCGATCCACCTCTCTACTCGCCGCTTTCACCTTTTTCCGTCGAAACCCTAATCCAGCAAACACTGGGCGCGCCAACGTTTTTAGTATACCATAATTCCTTTCCGCCCTTGCGTCACAACGGCTCTCACTTTCCGCAACCTCTTGCAAATGCTCCTACTAGTCGCCCTGCGACGCAACTCCCGGCCCCCCACGTTCCTGCGCCTTCCGCGTCGAAGCGCATGCGCCTTGCTGCCTCCCCGCAGATGCAAGATCTGCCACGGTGACACGGACGGTGGGGATCTGCGGTAGTCGTCAGGGGGCCACACTGACGCGTCGCCCATGCACAACGTCAGGCGCTGTGTAGTTGCATTGCTCCGCACCCCCCCTCGTTACCTTTTCCCCACTGTATTTACGCTTCCGTCTTGCCAAGCGGGATCTGCGGTGGTGTGGCAGATGTCTGGCGGCGTGGAGCCAAGGATAGGGATCGGAGGGACCCAAGGACTAGGTTTGAGCAGCAGCATCAGCTGGAGCCTGAGCTGACCATGCTGCAGCCCACATCAGCGCCGGCTGCAGTAGTGCAGCTACTGTAGTAGCTGCAGCCCACAAGAGCACATGTGGGGTTCAGTCGGGTCAGTGGTGCAGTGACCAGTCGCGCCTCCCTTTCCCCCCAGGTCGCGCCTCCCTTTCCCCCCAGGTCGCGCCTCCCTTTCCCCCCAGGTCGCGCCTCCCTTTCCCCCCAGGTCGCACCTCCCTTTCCCCCCAGGTCGCGCCTCCCTCCTCCTATTTCCTCCCATCCCTCACCCCCATCTTCCCATCCCCCCCAAACCCTCCCTCAGCTCATTCTATCTCCTCCCTTCCCTCTCCCCTTCTTTCCCTCATGTCTCCCCCTCCTTCCCCCCATTTCACCACTCCATGCCCTCGTTCCCATCCCTCCTTCCCCTCGTTTCACCATTTTCTACCCCGTTTCCCCACTACTTTCCCTTGGCTTTTCCCCTTCCCCCATCAGCCACCCGCGCCTGCAGCCTCGTCACCGCCACGGAACCGTCATCTGCACGTTTGACGAGGTGCGCGAGATGCGGCCATTCACGCGCCAGCGCCTTTCCTCATCCCTCCGAACCTCTTCCTCTCCGCCCTCCAGTAGTGGTGAGTGCATGCGTGGTGAGTGAGTGGCAGGAGTCCCGTGGCAGCAGCGTGGGTGCGAGGGGCAGAGGCGTGGCGAGTGCGCGTAACGGGAGGGAAGTGCATCGTGCAGTCAACTGTGCTCCAATCCCCAATCCCCTGCTCCTCATCCCTCCAATCCCCTGCTCCTCTGGACCTTTCTAGCACACCTGACTTGCACACCTCCCTCATCCCCCCCCGTCATCCTCTCTCCCCCATGTCATCCTCTCTCCCCCCTGTCCTCCTCCCCCCTCCCCGTCATCCTCTCTCCCCCCTGTCCTCCTTCCCCCCCCCGGGTCATCTTCTCTACCCCCTGTCCTCCTTCCCCCCCCCCCCGTCATCCTCTCTCCCCCCTGTCCTCCTTTCCCCCCCCGTCCTACTCTCTCCCCCCTTCCCCCCCCCGTCATCCTCTCTCCAGCCTGTCCTCCTTCCCCCCCCCGTCATCCTCACTCCCCCCTGACCTCCTTCCCCCCCCCCCCCGTCATCCTCTCTCCCCCCTGTCCTCCTTTTCCAATCCGTCATCCTCTCCCCCCCCTGTCCTCCTTCCCCCTCGTCGCATCTCCCAATCGCCCTCGTCGCATCTCCCAATCGCCCTCTTCGCATCTCCTAATTCGCCCCCGTCGCACCTCCACGCCGCTGCCCGTATTGTTGCCTGCCACGTCTCTTTGCAACATCGCTGCGTCGTCGCGGCTACGCAGCAGTCTGTTCGCCACATTGCGGCATCCTCACCGCGTCAGCGCCTGCTTGTCGCGTCGCCATGTGAGCGACCCATTCGTCTATTAGCAGCCTCGCTGCCACCTCGCCATATCGCGAACGTCGCAACCTATGCGCCGCGTTGCCTCGTCAGCGCCATCCGCCTCGTCGCATCCTCCTCACCCTCTCGCCACCTCGCGAAAGTCGCCTCCGCGCTGCTTCCCATCCTGACCGTGTCACCTCCCCACTCATCGCCGCCTCGCCTCCCCACTCTCCTTTCTGCCCGCCCCCCCTGTCCTGTCCCCTTCTCTCCTCCCTGTCCTCCTCTCCTCCCCCTGTCCTGTTTCCTCCTTTCCCCCCTGTCCTGGGCCTCTCTCTCCCCCCTGTCCTGTCCCCCCCTCTCCCCCCTGTCCGCCTCTCTCTCCCCTGTCCTATCTCCCCATCTCCCCCCTGTCCCCCCTGTACTTCCCCTTCCCCCCAGGTCGCACTTTCCTTCCCCTCTTCTCCCATCCCTTCCCTTCTAATACCTTCCCTCACCCCCCTTCCATTCCCTTCCCTTCCCTTCCATATGCGCCTCTTCTCCTCCCATCCTCCCATCTATCCACCCATCCCATCTCTCATCCCTTCCTCATGCTCTGTCCTCCCTTCCTCCCCACCTCTCCTCCCTTCTCCACATCTTTACTCCCCAGTACTAAGTGCAGGGTGAAGCTGTGCCTTAGCAAGTTTGGCAACAGGTGCAAAAGCAAATTGAGTAGCTGAGGCAACAAGAGTGGCTGTTTTGTACCTTCAGTTGTTTATTTACTCACTTTATGAAGCAGTGTTTCAAAAGAGACCTTTACATACCAACCACACATCACCAATGCCATCACTGTTGGATATACAGAAACCTCGATTGAATGTATTTTGCAAAACTGATAATTGAGGGTACACAGCACCATCCTATACGTAGCTAGCAACTTGTCTTCTTGGTTGCTTCATGCTCTATGAGCTGCACAACAGACAGCGACAGGGAAGGTGGGAAGGAGAAGCCAGGGGGATCAGTAACAGGTGTAAGATAATCAGGGACGTAGGGGTAAGGAAGGGGAGACCAAGATCACAACAACAGGGAGGAAACAGACAAACAGGGGACTTGGAGTGGGGATCAGAGGGCTCCAGAAGAGATGAAACAAGGGAATGAGGGTGGGAGTGAAACGTGGCCTTAGCAGCAGGGAAACAAAAGGTAAGCTGGGGGGAAACACAGGGTAACCAGGGGAGAAACAAGGAATGAGCAGGGAGGTAAACAGGGGAGGAAGGACAGTGAAGGGAGTAAGGGAGAAAGGGGAAAGAAATGGGAGTAAGGGATAGAGGGGAAAGGGCTGCATTGGCAGGAAGGGTGGGAGGGGAAAAAGATGGGAATGAGGGAGAGAGGGGAAAGATTAAGGGAGCGGGGAGAAACGGCAGACAAGGGAGTAGTGGGGAGAGGGGAAAGAGATAGGACAGGGAAGTCGAATTGTTTTGGGGCCAGAGTTGCGATGTGAGAGAGGAGAAAATGCACACTGGAGAATGCTCCGCGTTATCGTTGCTCATTACTGTCCGCACCTCGGGCCTCCTCGTTGCAAATCCTAGTTCATTATATGTTTTCCTGCTTTTGGGACCCGGACAGTGGTAGGAGAGAGGGGAGCTTGCCTGTGGACAGGGAGGGAGGTGAGGGGAGGGGGGGCAGGTAAGCGTGAGGGGGCAGGAAGGGCTTTCCTGGACAGCGGTGGGAGAGAACTGTGGACAGGGAGAAAGGATAAGCAGGAAGCTTCCAAAGAGTGAGCAAGGGGGAAAAACAAATAGTGAGCAGGGGGGTAACAAAAGATATGCAGGGCGGAAACAAAGAGTGAGCAAGGGCGGAAACAAAGAGTGAGCAAGGGCGGAAACAAAGAGTGAGCAAGGGCGGAAACAAAGAGTGAGCAAGGGCGGAAACAAAGAGTGAGCAAGGGCGGAAACAAAGAGTGAGCAAGGGCGGAAACAATGAGTGAGCAAGGGCGGAAAGGAGGGAGAGAGGTTACTTACAGTACAGAGGGGAAACGGCGAGCACATGTAGGTTGAAAGTGAGGGCAAGCTGAAAGGGAATGAGGGGGGGGGGGGGGAAATACATTGGGACATGGGCTGCAACAGGCTTCTCGCTGCTCACTCCCTTCCCCTCGCGCCTTCTCGCTGCGCACTCCCTTCCCCTCGTACCTTCTCGCTGCTCACTCCCTTCCCCTCGTACCTTCTCGCTGCTCACTCCCTTCCCCTCGTACCTTCTCGCTGCTCACTCCCTTCCCCTCGTACCTTCTCGCTGCTCACTCCCTTCCCCTCGTACCTTCTCGCTGCTCACTCCCTTCCCCTTGCGCGAATCTGGATGCTTGCTTCTGCTCACCGCCACCTCTATCGCTGCTCAATCCCGTGCGCACCTACCCGCGCCTATCTCGCTGCTCACCACCCTTCGCGCCTTGTGCTGTTCCCACACCCCTCTCCCGAGCGCCCGTGCCTTTCTCGCCGCTAATCCTCGTTCAAACCTCGCGCTCGCGTTACGCACTCCCCTTGTGACTACGCAGTACCGTCCGCACTACGCACTCCTCTCCGCGCTAAGCCCTCATCTCCTCTCCGCACTATGCAATACCGTCCGTACTACGCACATCATCTGTCACTCGCCTCCTTGCGTGCTCACTACCCCCTCTAAATCACGTCTATCCCGATGCTAACTCCCGTCCCCGACGTGCGCAATATGTTGCTGCTCACGCCCCTACTGGGTTTATTGTCACCCATCCCGAAGTGTCGCATGCGTAGACTATGCGGTAGTGAAGTAAAGTATGCGGCGCCGTAGTGCCTGTGAGAGGATTTGCCTGCGGAAGTGCTAGAACGCCGGTGCGCTGTGAGAGTGCCTTCCTGGATAGTGATGGGAGAGGGGGAAGTTGCTGCTGTCTAAGGCCGCTTTTCACGAACTCAATCCGCAATCCCGTTTCTACGCCATGCACCACCTCGCGACATGGAATTTTGACTTTACTTCTTGCGAGTGGCTCATCACGCTCTACTATCACGTTTCTCGCGAAGAGGTTTTCTCAATGCTCAATACTAATGAACATCCTCTAATGGCATGGTGACCGTTGAAATCGTCGCAGCAATCGTTTATGAAACGCGGCCCATACGGGTCGCAGATATCCGGCGACGAGACCAGCTGATCTAAGGCGACGAGGCGAACAGATATTAGGCGAGGAGGTGAACCACTGTTACGCGAGGCGGCGCTCTGATATCGCGCGACGAGTATAGGGCAGGACGCGACGGTGTGTTTGACTGCGCTGGTAATCCGCGGCCGACGCGGCCTAAATCGCTATTGCGGGCGTGGTGAAAGTAGGCGAAGCAGGTTTCATTTCGTGCGAGTATAATCACCGGAATCGCTAGGGGTTGACTGAGCAAACTGGCAACCAGAGTTTTGGTCTACAAACCACATTGCGGATCAAGTTCTAATCTGGCGAACTTGTTTCGGCTGTTGGTTTGCTCACCCCCACCCCCCTCCCCCCCTTCCGCATCGACTTTCGTTTCTCCACAAAGGGGTTCTTTTGGGGACAGTGTTACCCTGTTTCCAAGTGATAAACCTTTGCCTCTCGCTTGAGGTATGTAGACCACAGCTTTAACAACAAATTGAAGTACCGTATTCTCCCGGACAAAACACCCCCCCATGATAGAGCACCCCCGGGTAGCTTGTGCGGGGTGGGTGCTATGGGCGACCTCGATTTCACTATACCCCCCTTTTTAGCTGCAGGCTGGGGGGCAGCAGGAGCTGCAGGCTGGGGGGCAGCAGGAGCTGCAGGCTGAGGGGCAGCAGGAGCTGGCCGGAGGGCAGCAGGCGTTGGAGGCGGAGATGGAAGTGGAGCAGGAGGTCAGGGAGCAGCGGGAGCTGCAGGCCGGGGAGCAGCAGAAGCTGCAGGTGGGGGAACAGCAGGAGCTGCAGGTGGGGGAGCAGCAGGAGCTGCAGGTGGGGGAACAGCGGGAGCTGCAGGCCGGGGAGCAGCAGAAGCTGCAGGTGGGGGAACAGCAGGAGCTGCAGGCCGGGGGGCAGCGGGAGCTGCAGGCTGGGGGGCAGCAGGAGCTGCAGGCTGGGGGGCTGCAGGGGCTGGCCGGAGGGCAGCAGGAGCTGGAGGCGGAGATGGAAGTGGAGCAGGAGGTCGGGGAGCAGCAGGAGCTGCAGGCTGGGGGGCAGCAGGAGCTGCAGGAACGGGACGTGGAGATGGGGGAGCCACAAGAGGAGGTGCGAGGGGAGCTGTCGGTAGCCGTGCAGGAGGGGAGCCAACCTAGGAACCAGCCCCAGTTGCAGGCAGGGCGGCAGCAAGGGTGTCGCGAGGGGAGCCAGCCTTTGCCTGGAAGCGTACAACAGGGATTGCCGACGAGTGAGTCGCTCGAGCTGCCGGCACAGGATCAGCAGGGGGTCACTAGCCCGGGCGGCACAAGCCAAGCCGAAAAGCCGCGGGCACGGCGCCGAAGGGGGCGACGGCAGGGAGGGGAGAGGGCTGGGGGCCAGCTGGGGGGGACTGGAGCACCTCGGGGAGCGCTGCAGCCAGGAGGGCAGCCGGGGGTGACTGGAGCACCCCAGGGAGCGCAGCAGGCAGGGGGGCAGCCGAGGGTGACCGGGGCACCCCAGGGGGAGCAACAGGCAGGGGGGCAGCCGAGGGCGCCCAGGGCACCCCAGGAAGAGCAGCAGGCAGGGGGGCAGCTGAAGGTGCCCGGGGCACCCCAGGGAGAGTAGCAGGCAGGGGGGCAGCTGGGGGTGACCGGAGCACTGCAGGGGGGGCAGCAGGCAGGGGGGCAGCTGAGGGTGCCCGGAGCACCTCAGGGAGTGCAGCAGGCAGGGGGGCAGCCGAGGGTGACCGAGGCACCCCAGGGAGAGCAACAGGCAGGGGGGCAGCCGAGGGTGACCGGGGCACCCCAGGGAGAGCAGCAGGTAGGGGGACAGCCGAGGGTGCCCGGAGCACCCCAGGGAGAGCAGCAGGCAGGGGGGCAGCTGAAGGTGCCCGGGGCACCCCAGGGAGAGCAGCAGGCAGGGGGGCAGCTGGGGGTGACCGGAGCAATGCAGGGGGGGCAGCAGGCAGGGGGGCAGCCGAGGGTGCTCGGGGCACCCCAGGAAGTGCAGCAGGCAGGGGGGCAGCCGAGGGTGCCCGGGGCACCCCAGGGAGTGCAGCAGGCAGGAGGGGAGCCGAGGGTGCCCGGGGCACCCCAGGGAGAGCAGCAGGCAGGGGGGCAGCCGAGGGTGCCCGGGGCACCCCAGGGAGTGCAGCGGGCAGGGGGGCAGCCGGGGGTGCCCAGAGCACCCCAGGAAGTGCAGCAGGCAGGTGGGCAGCTGGGGGTGCTCGGAGCACCCCAGGAAGTGCAGGAGGTAGGGGAGCAGCCGAGGGTGCCCGGAGCAATGCAGGGAGAGCAGCAGGCAGGGGGGCAGTCGAGGGTGCCCGGGGCACCCCAGGGAGTGCAGCAGGCAAGGGGGCAGCCGAGGGCGCCCGGGGCACCCCAGGAAGTGCAGCAGTCAGGGGGGCAGCTGGGGGTACCCGGGGCACCCCAGGGAGTGCAGCAGGCAGGGGGGCAGCCGGAGACGACAGAGGTACCTCAAGGTGCTCAGCAGCCAGGGGGGCGGCTGGGGGCGACAGAGGTACCCCAGGGGGTGCAGCAGGCTGAGGCACAGCCGGGGGCAACCAGGACAACCCAGGGAGCGCAGCAGCTAGGGGGGCAGCCGGGAGATGAACAGGGGCCGCAGTTAGAGGGGTGGAGTCGACTTTGGGAGTTTGATACCCCCATGGCAACTGTGGAGGAGCCAGGGGAGGACGGGGAACCTCCTAGGTCGCCTTCCCCATGCCCTCGCTTTCCATGCGACACGTGTTTCCACACGTTTGCTACGAAAGGGGCTGCAGCGAACCACATGAGGGTATGCCGGGCGGCTGAGGCGGAGAGGCGCGCACAGGCTCTGGGGTTGATTCCTTCTCTGGTAGAGGCTGACACGCAGGAGCGACCGACGCCGCGGGAATTTGGGGACGAGGTGTGGGCCGGGGTTACTTCATGGGAATGGGAAGCTTTCTTCAGCGTGGAGGCGGTCGGAGGGAGGACAGTGCGTCGGATCCCACAGCGGGCTCGATCGGGAGTCTTGGACGCGCTTTGCTGTATCTTGAAGCGATTGAAGAGCCGACCGGGGGACGAAGCCGCTACCATCCTACTCTTGGCGTTCCCGCGCCTCATCCTAGCTGTGCCTCCCAAGCCGGGCATAGGCCAGAGGGCGCTGATCGTGGAGCGGCTGGGGGCCTTCTGGGAGGGGAGGTGGCGGGAGCTGTTTGACTTTGCCATGGCGGCGATGCGGCCAGCTGTTCGCCCACTCGCCTACACCTGCTCTGACCATGACCCCGATGCTGTACGCCTTTCGCGTTGCCGATCTCGGTGTAAGGTGGGCGAGTGGAGCCGTGGGTTGGCTTGCCTTACGGCAGGGGAGTTGGCTAGACCGTGTGAGGCCATGGTGCAGTCACTGCGGGGGAAGCACCCTGCTTGCGCCGAGGATGTACCAGAATGGGTCCGCGATTTCACTGTGGATGCTCCTCAACGGCCCATGCTCACGACTGACATACTGGCGAGAGCTATCCATACGGCCGCGCGAGCTTCAGCTGCGGGGCCGTCGGGGTGGGTCACGGACATTTGCGTGATACCTTTCTCACAGAGCCCTCTTGCCTTTCCCATCTGCTGGAAGTGTTCAACCAATGGGTGGCGGGACAGGTCCCCGAGCGAGCTCGGCCCTGGCTCGCCGCATCCAACCTAGTCGGGCTTTCCAAGCCTAACGGCGACGTCAGGCCAGTCGCTATTGGGGAGGTGCTTCCGCGCATTCTAGCTCGAGCTCTCTGCATCTCACTCCGCCCCGTGATGGCTTCCTACTTTCTGCCATGCAACCAGTTGGGGGAGGGCACCAGGGCGGGGGTAGAGATTCTCACCCATGCTTTCCGGTCAGCGCTGGCCACTCACCCCGACTGGTGTGCGCTGCAGATCGACGTCGCGAACGCCTTCAATTCGTTTCACCGTCACGCGATGTTCGAGGGGTTGCGGAAGTCGCCTTTCTTTGGATTAATCCCATTCTTGCGTGTCTTCTATGGCGCGCCTAGCGACTTGTACCTTCGGGCGGGCCCCTTCGTAGAGAGCCTCGCGTCGGCACGGGGTTCGCGCCAGGGGGACCCGCTCGGCCCCTTTCTTTTCGCGTTCACGCAGCAGGAGGTGATGGAGCCGGTTACTAGGGAGTTCACGGACTTACTCTTCCTCAGTTATGCGGATGACACCTATATCTTGGGTCCAGCGGCTAGAATCCTGGAGGCCTTTGGGGTGCTGCGGGAGCGGTTGGAGTGGGTGGGGCTGGAGGTGCAAGCGCACAAGTGCCGGTTTTGGGAGCGCGGGCACGGGGATGTAGAGCAGACACTGCCATTAGGGATGCAGCGGGTGGAGGAGGGCCTCACTGTGGTGGGCGTACCCATAGGGGATGAGGTTTGGGAGGCGGCCCGCTTGCGGGAGCGGCTTCGATAGTTGCAGGCGCCATTGCCATGGCTCCCCTTGCTCGACCACCCCCAGATGGCTTCGCATCTCCTCGCCATCGCAGTTTCAGCGCGGCCGATGTATCTCGCCCGGACTATGCCGCCGCGGCCGGAGGTGGTGGAGGCTTTTAGAGATTGGGACAGCTGCCTGGAGGACTGTTTTGAGCAGCTCTTCCCACCTGGCACTTGGGAGCAGGACCCCGACAGATCTAGGCGCGCACGCATGCAGCTGCATCTCCCAGTACGACTCGGGGGGTTTGGGATCCGGGCGGCGGCCTCTTTGAGCCCGCTGTCCTATGTTTGTGGATGGGCACAAGCTGCGCGTGATATTGCACACCTGGGGGTGGCGGGTGAGGAGGCGATGTTTGCGGATTACCTCAGCACTCCGGAAGGGGCAGAGTTTCTTGACCCGTGGTTTGCTAAGGCCCTTGAGCAGCTGCCTGCGGCTGTGCGTCAGGAGATGCCGAGCCTATCTCTCTGTTTGGCAGCCCCTCCTCTTCGGCTTTTCCAGGCGCGGCAGCGGCAGTTGGCTGTAGAGGAGCTCCAGGCTTTGCGCCGCTTAGCCCGTGACGATGCCACTTTGGCCCGTTTCACATCCCTTCAGGGTCCGGGGGCTGGTTCATGGGTGTCGGTGGTCCCAGCACATTCAGATCTCACATTCACTGCGGCTGAGTGGGGCATCGCAGCGGCTATACGGCTCGGGCTCCCAATTCAGCAGCTGCGGGTGGCGGGGCGGTGTATTTGTGGCACAGCGTATGATGACCCAGCAGACCCGCATCATGCCCTGAGATGTAAGCACCAGCACGGTCCATCTCGAGTGCATGATGAGGTGAAGTTTGCAGTGGCGAGGATTGCTAAGGCGTCAGGAGGGGTGGTGACACTGGAGGATGGCGCGGTGCTGCCGGGGAAGCGGGTCGATGTAGCGGTGCGGCGACCAATGGCTGGGGAAGCTCACGCTCTAGAGATTAGCGTCGCTGACCCTCTGTCGCTGTCTCCTTCGCTGCTAGGGCAGTGTGGGCGTTCCATAGGAGTGGCGGCAAGGGAGTGGGAGCGTCGCAAGACGGGCGATCACGCACCCCTGCTTGCACGCAACCCGGGCGTGCAGTTCACCCCTTTAATAGTAGAGACGTGGGGGTGTCTAGGCGGTCGGTTTCGGCGGTGGCTTCAACAACAGGGGGATGCACACTTGGGGCTAGCGGTGTCTCGTGGGGCATGTCGAGAGGACGACCATTCGTTTTCGGCTTATCTGATGGGGTCTTTGAAGGGGCTCATCGAGGTGGCGTTACAACGGGCACAAGCCCGTGTTATTCTGCTTCGCGCGGCGTCTTCCATGGGGGGTTTGAACGTGGATTTGGTGGACAGGGAGGAGGACGATGTCGAGATGGAGGGTGGGGCTCTCTGGGTGGAGGCCCCTTACATGGTGGATGCTCGGATGTGAGCTGAGTAGGGGGGGGGAAATTGGGGGGCTGTCTGGGGTGTCTCGGTTGGGTGTATGGATTGGGTGTTTTGATTGGGTGTCTTGATGGGGTTTTTATTATGTATGTGCTTTTAGGATCTGGGTGTCTTGATGGGGTTTTTTATGTGTGTGCATTTAAGAAACTCGTGAGCACCCTAGGGTGGTATATCCGGGGGAATACGGTAAGAGGGAGCATCGTAGCTAGTTTTTAAAGCTCGTACAGGTTGTTATTGTGAATGCGAGTGCATGTAGTGATTCTGTATTACTGTACAGAACAGGTAATTGAGAGGCTTTAGAGAGAAACAAGAGGCGACAAGTCGTCATGGGGTTGCGAAGCGTTTTGCACAACCACATTTTATTTTTCTATAGAAATTGTTGTAAGTAGTATGAAA